TATTTGACAGAGAAAGACACAGCGAGAGAGGGAACACAAATGGGGAGTGGGAGAGGGAGAAGCAGACTCCCCGCCGAACAGGGAGCCCGATGCGGGACTCGATCCAGGGACTCCAGGATCATGACCTGAGCCGAAGGCAGTTGCTTAACCAACTGAGCCACCCAGGCACCCTATTAGCATTTTTAGAATGCCCACAACTGTGAATCCCAAATCAAAGAGTGTAGATGTTTTTTGGCCTTTAAGAAGAGTGGTAGCTTGAGATGCCAAGAGTGGCTGATTTAAATAGAAGGTTGTATGTACGGGGGTGGGGGGGTGTGAGACAGCATAGAGCTACAAATAGCAGGAGATTCTGAAAGCAGCTGCTGGGGCTACCGTGCACAAGACTCTTGTGTCACTAGGAAAAGCCCCCCACACCAAGCTCACAGCAGACCTTTTAGGCTAACACCCCTGCCATTGTCCTGCGAACCATGGGTCTACTCCAAGCCACCATGGCCTACACCTAGATTTTGGACAATAAGGGTTTGTGATTAGCTGGCTCGTTGCCTCTAGAGGATTCTCTTAAGAACCACAATGTGAAGTTTTGTGTTTGGGAACCTCACAATTCTCCAAGGCAGTTGTAAGAATCAGTATAAACTGCAAATTGAAAAGAACAGGTATTTGGCCTAAAAGATATTCAGTTGAGAACAAATAAAAACCACTGGTAATGGGAGATATATTGGTATAACTACTTTGGAAAACAGTTTAGCATTACCTTTAAAAACGAATGTTAATTAGCTCAACCCAGTAATCCCTCTCCTGGGTCCACAACCCAGAGAAATGTTTGCCCACTGGCTCCGGGGATAAGTAAGGAGATATTCAGAGCAGGACTGTCTGTCACAGCAAACAAACTGGAAATAACTCAGTGTCGATCAGCTGGACAAGGGCTAAACAAATGATGTTGTAGTCATACAACAGAATATATTATATAGCAGTGAAAATGAATATAAAGTGCAGCTATGCAAAATTATATGTGTAAATCTTAGAAACATGGCATGGAAAAGTGCCAGGCTCAGAAGTGTACTTATTGAATAATATTTTTATAAAGCTAAAACAAAACAATGTACTGTGTAGGGATATACTCATTTAAGATGTATTTTTTAAAGCAAGGGAGTGATAAATGGAATATCAAGGATGAGGAGTCAGGGGTATGGGATGGGAAAGATAAGAAGTATAGAGGTATTGGCAATATTCTAGTTTTTGTTTTTTTAAACATGCACTGTAAATGTCCTTCATAGGTGAAGAAATGCAAATGACTAGTAAAACATTGAAAAAAAATGTTTTTCCAGTAATTCAAAAGGAAAGAAAAACCACTCTTTTAAGAGAAATAACCATTTTTCATTAATCAAAGTAGTAAAGATTTATTTTTATTTATTT